CCCGATAAGGATCGGCGACTAGCAAAACGGATGCGGCTCAGAGTGTGCAAGTCAACCTAGCTCCGTTACCTCTTTGAGAGGATTACTCTAGAAGGATATCGCGTCCTGTGGAGGGCACATTGTATAAACTTAAAAATCAAAAATATCGAAATTTCTGTTGAGATAACCCAGAAAGTGAAACCAAACAGATAGAAGGTAACGTGGGCGCTAATCAGAGGCTAACCTTCCGCACTCTTAGGCACGACTTTCATCGTACCAGTCATCCTGGCCCTCTCCCGTCTTCTCGACTTTCTCATGACACCGGATCCAAGTGGGGCCGAAGAAAAAGTGGTAGATGTAACGTGAATCTACTATGATTATAAAGTGACTCCCGCGAGCGCCACCGTCCCTGTGACAACAACCTTTTGCGAATCAGGCTGACATCACCGGCCATGACGGTCGAACTGTTGTCGTGACCGAATGATTCGACTGAAACGTCGCATTTTTCTAAAAGGCCACCCCTTTGGATACGGACGGCTTGCGTATACCACCTTTCAGTCTCGATTTTCATTCCCAGGCATGTTCCCGGCAAATAAATCCTGGTTTGGAGGTCGCCAGGCATCATAAGGACATCACGAGGTCTGTCGACGGCATGGAGGCTGTTGGCTATTCCTCGGTCGACCTTGATGACGAACTCTTAAGTGTTCAAACGTAATAAGTTTAATACTGATGTTAATTAATCGTTCGGACAAATTTCGTTTTCTTGTCCGTCTAGAACGCAATACCAAGCACGAGCACATATTAAACTGCCCAAGATGGGCAGTAGAAAGTCTCGATATTGGTGGTTGAGTCATTTATACACATTTTTCGGCATCCCATCTATTTATCTCACGAAAGTTTTTATCTGTGTTCTAATGATACTTTTGAGCCCTCCTTTGTTTAAATGTTTCGATTTTTAGGTCCCCCAACGCGCTGACATATTCAGTCTGGACTAAAATTGCCTTGGCGGTTGTACGATGCGCGTTCTGGTCGGGCGGAGTTGTTTCTTACATAGTTTGCGTTCAAGGTACCCCTACAACGCAGCCATTTCGAAATTTCTTATTGCGAATATTTGCGGATACTCGCGCATATATTTACTTTGCAAATTATATTGTTCCGTAAGATAGGAAGCGGGCGATAGTTTTGTGCCACAGTTAAATCAAATGGTTACATGTGCGTGTATGAAGTTAACTTCAAATGTTTTTTTCCGCGGAGGTAAATGAGACGTAGCCCACGAATTTACAATTGAATATCTCCATGAATTGTTCGCCGAGAAGCTATAGCTTGTATTGCATTATAATTATACTTGCATTAATGCAATTGCCCAAAATTTGTGAAAATACACATATTGAAAAGGCAAAGATAGATGATGTCAAGTGAAAGATCAATTAAATATGAATAGCGTGCAATATACGCACCAAAACCCTGACTACAGACGATGGTATAGGTGACAAGCCTACTTCTTGGGAAAATCCACTCTTTATGCTATATAAATCAAGCTGACGCTTGCCAAGCAAGAATCTTAGTTTCTTCTTATTTTAAATCAAAAATCGAACTTCGTCTAGTCTCTAACCACTCGGCTCAATTTGCCATACAGTTTGCATAACTCGAGTACTGGTGCTTACTTTGATATCCATGGAAGCCTAGAAAGTAAGTAGACTGCTTACAGGACATGCTAAATCATCATCCAAATGCTTGTCTTCTGTAGGGAGGCTTCTTGCAGAAAAATCGATGGGCAGGGAATTGTGGTCTTTAGTATAAGAATAACTTTTATTCGTTACGTGGTATGAGGGCTGTATCATCTCTAGTGCAAGATATTTTGATCGAAATGACCCAACTCTAAGCTCATTGTTTTATTATTCCCACTCCTAATTGGCAGTTGCTTTTGGAAGAATGTTGCTGCTGGTCCACCAGACGTCATATTCGGACTGAATGAGGCCTATGATCGCGATCCCAACCCCAAAAAGGTCAACCTGGGTGCTGGGGCGTACCGTGATGACGAGGGTTTGCCCTTCGTCCTATCTGCTGTAAGGACCGCTGAAGCTCGGGTAATTATCGGCCAAAACAAGGAGTATCTGCCGATATCTGGCAACCCTAACTTCTGCCGCGAGGCCATAAAGTTAGCCCTGGGGTCCGAATCTCCAGTGCTTTTGGAAAAAAGGGTGAGCACATAGCATGGGAGCTAAAGAACGCTATGCATCATCACAAATGCTTTTGTTGCTAAATAAACGATTCTTTACCCCACTAGAACGCAACCGTTCAAGGAATTTCGGGTACTGGGTCCCTGCGGATCGGAGCCGCTTTTCTGGTAGTCCTTGCGTTATTAATCAAAATGCTACATATCCTCCCATATAGGAGAAGTTCGCGCCCTCTAGAACTATATGGCTGCCAACTCCAACATGGGGTAATCATCCACCCATTTTCAAGTAAGCTGCGTCACTTTTCGTTTTTGTTATTGCCCTAAAACTAGCATGCTGCTCAAAGTGGGAATTGGACAGAAACTTTCGTGATCACTTCTAAGAGTTATGCCCTAACTTTCTTCCCTCTGAATGGAAACTTGGAGCTGTTGGATGGGGGTCCACTGAAGCTGCCAATCAGCTTGCCTCCTGTAAAAAGAATGGATATGCTAAGATGCGAACGGTTTCGCAACGACAAACCTCCTTGTTAAATCGCCGACAGCTTAATCATCATTAGCTATCCCACAGATCGATACCACGAAAAGACTTGGTCTTCATATCTACACACGCGGCGTTTATGACTCCGACATCGGGAATAGTGGGTGAAGCAATCGGTGCAAGAACACGTCAGCACTGATACGCTATCTTAGTCTAACGACTGGACCTCCTCGACATTCTCCTATGCCGCCTCTTACGCAGACTTTCTCAGTGCTATGATTTTCGGCCCTGCGCCAAACTCGCTTTCGTCAAGCCTAGGAATGTCTGCGGCAGTACCCCTTGATTGACACTGCGCGTCTCGCCGCGGTGTTCTTAGGTGGAGGTTGCGGTGATCATTTAGTCGACTGGCTGGGCCGCCTGCAATGACTTGGTGACTACGTTGGCTTTCTGATCCTTTAAGGGTATTAGCGTAAGGAATCATCATTGTGGTACATTGCTTGAGTCCTCTGGGTTCGGCATCGTCGGCCGAACCTGGCGACTCAGGCGTTGATATGATAATTTTATTCTTCTGATACTTCGTTCCCACTGAAAACGAAAGCAGATAAATGTAGCAGGTACACATAGGAAGAGGTCGAGCTTTAGTTTGATATTGTCGGTCAGCCGGCGTATAAAGAGAGCTTAATTAACAGCCTTTGGAGTTGCTCCTCCGGCCGACCGTATCATTTCAGTTTACAGGTCAACAAAGTAGATGTTTCAACATCTTAAATCTCCGGTGAAACGACGAATCACCTCGAGTATCCCGAAAACCAAAATACGTTTTGCATTAGATTCAACAGTCTGCAACATGAGTTCAGCGGCTTCGAACTATTATCTTGTGACTACGTGACTCACCGGGGTGAGTATGCGAATAACATCTTTGTTTCCATCGATAGGGACCAAGCGTAGAGATTTCAAGATCGATATAGGAAAAAGAAAACAGTCAATTGACCTTCCTTGATTTACTCCTCGACCACATAGCTTCAGGAGACCAAGAAGCTATAGTTATCAGGAAAACGATAATAACCAACGCAGCAGCAGAGAACTGGAAGACAAAGTTGCCGATTTTCGATTTCTTCGACTGGCAGGCAAACGTCGCATCTCGAATATTTCCAAATTCACTTTGACCCAACTGTGAAAGACTCGATTCGAACCCAGGACAGTAAGGGAAGGCCTTAGCTCAGCCAACGCTCTAGCCACTTGAGCTACCAGGCCCCACCGGACGACGGGCGTTTAATCACATTTGGGTCAAGTTACCCGCCCAACCTACTGCAACGTCTGGAATCCACCAAATCTCATACATTAAGCTGTCTGACAATAGAAGCGAAGAGACGAGTTCCAGGAAGCAGTTTCGAAGGAGACACGATCGCTCGGACACGAGCTTTATTAGCCTGACGTTTCGGATTCCTGCTCGAACCTATCATGAGAGACATAAACAGATACGGGTGGTTCATGCACAGGGGGCTGCAGTATTTATGGGATGCAGTCTCCATGCCACCGCATACCTATCAATATTCACGACTCCCCCCTTCATCAGGGAGGACTGTTTGATGGCCGACATTCGCGTCGTTAATTGCTGCAATTTGATCACGTGCATTAGATGTCGGTGTGATGATTGCTCGACCATCTGATCCACAGACCCTGGCGTCGGGAAAAGTGTTCGCTCTTGCGCTTCCCGCGTAGCTAATTACTTCGCCTAGGCGAAGTCTCAGAACTGAGCTACGAGGCCCCACCGGACGACGCGAGTTTAATCACATTTGGGCCAAGTTTACCCGCCCAACCAACTGCAACGTCTGGAGTCCACCAAATCTGATACAGTAAGCTGACTGCCCAAGCAAGATTTCCTAAGTAATCTAGAATCTATCAGATGTCTACCAGGTTTACGTAATTCAGAGGTGTTTTGGCAGATTTCCGGGGAGCCGGAATTTGGAATTTGAATTTCGGATAGGCAACAGGCATAGCATATTATCAGACTTCGATTAGCGTGGTGGAGTACTCAGCTGAGGCTGAGTACCTCCCACCCACAGAGTTCAATTTTTTTTCAGCATTTGTTCACTTTTCTTCTTTACCAGTCGTGTGTATCACACCTTCTAAAATTTCTAGGACAAGCAGGTTACTGTGTTTGCACTTTAATCGGCGCCACAAACGTTCTGAAACGTTCCCATGGTCTTTTCTTTCGAAAGGCTGTTCCTGCTCTAAAAATGCACAGCTGAGGGTTTGCCAAGTCGAGTAATCCTCGCTGCACGTATTACATTCCCCAACCCACTCCTCCGGTTTCAGTCACGCTGGGCTGAATGTTAAATTCTACCGGTATTACAACGCGGAAACGCTCGGTGTGGACATCTTCGGTCTTTTGGAAGATCTTTCCCAGAAGATCCCTGACGGCGACACTGTCCTCTTTCATGCCTGCGCACACAACCCCACTGGTATCGATCCAAGCCCCGAGGAGTGGAAAGAGATCGCGTCCATCTTCTCCTCTCGGCCTCTGATACCCTTCTTCGACATGGCCTATCAGGTGCGTGTTCAGTGTCACCAAGCGCCACTGCGTTCTTGCATTCCTACTGCCAGTTTTCATGATCGCTGGCCGGGATAATTGAACCAGTACTTCTCGCACTTGTTGCGGTGGATGACGGCTGACGCGTCCACACCCGCTGTCTAAGTAATCGCGTGTACTGTGCATCCGTCCGGTCAGTCTTTCCTCTATGCTTGTCAGTTCTAGGCTGTAAGCGTGGAAGATGAGCAAAACCTGGAGTGACTTTGTCTTAAACGAGACACTTCCCACTCGATGAGACATCGGGGGCTATCCCAGACCATCCAAGAAAGTCCACAGAGGTGGTTTGGCTACTCTCTTTGTTATCTGCCTCACGAGCTCAATGCCATTAACAACTCGGAGGCATCAAAGAAGAGGTCAACTCAAAACGTGGTTCGCCACAGTTTGTCCAGACGCAGATGTGGCCTTTGGGCCTTCGGCATTCAGTATACATGACCTTTGACCCAGGTAATTGAACCAGTATTTATCGCACTCTTTGCGCTGGCCGACGGCTGACACGTCCACCCCTTGTCTAATTAATCGGTGCTACTACAACTATCGGTGTTCTACTGCGGCGTGATTCCCGCCCTAGTGAGTGCCGGTCAAAAATCAGAAGCAGGTTTGAAATACGTCGTCTGTGCTGCGAAAATCAAATCCGAATTAAATGGCAACACTTAAACAACAAATACTTCCCTAATATCGCATAAAATTGCTACAAAGTGGTCTTCTCCTCCATTCAAAACATGCCCCTGAGGTAAATGCTGTGGAACTCCACGATTTTTCCTCAAAATCTCAATCATGCCATTTAATCGAATCTTATGGACTGATTTGGATTAAGTCCCCAATATACTGCCAATTCGCCAGAATGTCTAAGTGAATCTGCTTCTGCTTGGCGTTAAGTGGTAGGGATAAATGTCGCTGCATCTCACTGGTGCATCTAAAAGTACATAGCATCGGTACCTTGACACAATCCAAAGACCCATGGACCATCAGTGCATGATCTATGGTTCTGGTATTGCTGGAATAGATCGCCACCGTTTTCTTCGGCAGGTGCATCTCCGCCTAGAAGATGGGGCCATGATTGTACTAACGGCGCCCTGTATATCCGACCTCGTCCATATTTACTGGGTTTTCCGGTGTTCCATTCAGCTCTTCTCTTCTATCGATGGATATCATTTCGTAGTGAACTTCTCGACATTAACCGAACCAGTGTTGAGTACTGGCAATCAGAAGGCTCGTTCGGGATCTTTGCAAGCCCTCAAAGTCCCTCTTATCGACATTTTTCTCATTCTGAGGAAAAAAATGTTTCAAAAATCTGCTGCAGACAATCCTTTAACAGAATTGGCTAAAGGCAGCACTAGAAATCACGTTCTGATTGGTTAATTGGTTTTGACCGGTAGCCAATGAATTTTGACATTGGGACGTCCGCACTGTCAGACAGGCTACTTGGTGATTCGCAGATCCGCCCTGCGCACGCCGGACTTTTTCGTGTTCAAGGCGCTAACTTGTACATTGCCGAGACGATTATGGCCCCGCGGCTCAGTGGTGAAGCCGCCCAGCATGCCTCCGAGTTGAGCATGCCCTCTTGACCACCCGCCTCTAAAACTCTACACCCAGATAGTCATCAACAAGGCTTTCTTGTATGGCTGGACCCCAAGTGAGGATTACCTAAAACTAAGTCAGAGGTGAGGCCAGTATGGTGTTGTCTGGCTTCCAGCAATGCTTCCGTCGATGTCGGTGGCGATGCGATGGCGTGCGGGACCAGGTCTGCGTCTACGCGGGCCACGCACGCGATAGGTCGGCGTTGCAATCGCGAGGTCCATCACTAGCCCACATGATACGCTGAGAGGTGACTCGGGTGTGGTTTTGTTTACCTACCTCGATGTTCCCACCCACCCTCCCTCACCATCATTCAACGGCAAAACAACTTCAAGTCGACTAGAGGTGTGAGTACGGGCGTCTGTGCAAGGTGTGGTCGCCACTCCCTGGAAAAAAAAATGGGATGCCTGCCAGATGAGTGGGTAGTTCACAGCCCAGCGCACGCAACGCTGCGACGGCGACAGCGGGATAACTCCTAAGGGAACGTGACCAGTCTGATATGTTGATAAGAAGAGACAACTTGCGCGACCCTGTTTTGAGGCTGTCAACATCTGCTCTTTAACAAGTCACACGACCTGTCGCGCCAAAAAGCTGCGGAAAACGTTTTGGTAAGCTGGTACTTGCTCACGCCTCCGCATCTTTTCCTTGCCTTCGCTTCTCGGCCTGCTCGCCCCGCGTCATTGATCAGCAGAAGGCATAACTTTGACAGGCACAGAGAGTGGGAATTTCGACGAAACTGCATGCTTGCTCAAGTCACTGGACCCCCATCACGCCTCCTTCCGCCTGCTGTTTTAATGTGCGCGCGCGCGCGTATACGACTGCTTCCGCCAGCGTTGCTAGCATGTTGAAATTCCCACTCTCTGTGCCTGTCGAGCAAGGCCACAGGCCGAGAAGCGAAGGCAAGGAAAGGAAGCGCGTATGCGACTGCTTCCGCTAGCGTCGGCGCCGCCGTGTGCGGTGGGCTGTGAACTACCCACTCATCGGGCAGGCATCCTATTTTTTTCCTGGGAGTGGCGACCACACCTTCCACAGACGCCCATGCTCACACGTCCAGTCGACTTGAAGTTGTTTTGCCGTTGAATGATGGTAGATGGTGAGGGAGGGAGGGTGGGAACATCGAGGTAGGCAAACAAAACCACACCCGAGTCACCTGGGCTAGGGATGAACTCCGCGCTTACAATGCCGACCTATCGCGTGCGAGGCACGCGTAGACGCAGACCTGACCCTGCACACCACCGCTTCGCCACCTACCCCTTGGACACCGACGGGAGCATTGTTGGAGAACAGATAACACTATACTGTCCTCACCTCACTTGGGGTCCAGCCATACAAGAAACCAGTGCTGATGAGTGTCTGCGTGTAGAGTTTTAGAAGCGGTGGAATATGTGTGAGTACTGTGATTTCCGAATGGACATTTCGAGTGGGAAATGACAACCCGCTTGACGTCGAGATGGCGGGCGGCCTAACCACTGACCTGCGGAGCCATAATCGTCTCGGCAATGTACAAGTTAACGCCTTGAACACGAAAAAGTCCGGCGTGCGCAGGGCGGATCTGCGAATCACCAAGTAGCCTGTCTGACAGTGCGGACGTCCCAATGTCAAAATTCATTGGCTACCGGTCAAAACCAAGTAACCAACCAGAACGTGATTTCTAGTGCTGCCGTCAGCCAATTCTTTCAAAGGATTGTCTGCACTAGATTTTCAAAACATCTTCTTTCCTCAAAAGGAGAAAAAATGTCGATAAGAGGGAGTCTGAGGGCTCGCAAAGATCCCGAACGAGCCTTTTGTTTGTCAGTGCTCAACACTGATTCAGTTACTGTCGGGAAGTTCGCTACGAAATGATATTCATCGATAGAAGAGAAAAGCTGAATGGAGCATCGGAAAACCCGGTGCAAATCGACGAGTTCGGATATACAGGGCGCCGTGAGTACAATCATGGCCCCGTCTTCTAGGTGGAGATGCACCTGCCGAGGAAAACCACACAGTCGCTGGTCAGGCATCCCACTTTTGGGAGTGACAACCATCCCTTCCACAGACTCCAACCGACTTGAAATTGTTTTTCCAGCAGAAGACAGTAGATAGTGCGAGCGGAGACAACAAGGCAGATAAACAAAACCGCGCCCAAGTCACTTCTGGGCGTGTCTTGTGGGCTATCGGTGGACCTCGTCGTGCGTGTAGCACGCGTAGATGCAGCTCTGGTTCTGTGCGCCATTCCGTCGACAGGTAGCCAAATATTTATGCTGTAATTGAAATGGTGTACTGGTTAGTAGCGTAAGTCTGTAACAAATGTGATAACGCACGGAGACATGCGAGCCGTGGCACCTACTCCTTCCAACGTCCTCTCGTCTTTCCGGGATTCCGCACGAGGTCTTTTCTAACAAAGAAACGACTACGTGTCTTAATATATCCTCGCGTTCGATTGCGTTATCCCTGGGCTCCTGAGAAAAGGAATTTAGTATTTCACCCCATTCATTTAAGTGCGGCTCCGTGGAGATGTCATTTTCCCCTATCTTGACCTTATCCGCGACAATAGGGTTTAAGAGAAACCCTAGATGTTCGGCTTAAAATTAAGATGAGGTTGAATGGCGGAAAACTTGCGTTCGCCGAATTTGACTTCTTCATTGTTCACATGGGTATCGTCGCAGAACGAAAACTGACTAGATCGCAGTTAGTAGCCAGGTTCGGGGAAGCGGACGGCGAACTTAACCCTAATCCTAACCTTAAAGCTAACCCTAACCTCAACCTTAAACGTAGATCGTTAACCCTAACGGCAACCCTAACCTAAATCGTAAACGTAACCGTAGCCCTTAGGCATAGCCGTAACTGTAAAACCCAGCCGTAATACTGAAACCTAATCGTACACTCAAACCCTAACCGTAACCCGAGCAACTAAGCCTAAAGGCATAACACTAACCCGAAAGTCGGAAACCATTAACCGGTAGCCTAATCCTAACCTAAAACGTAAAACGGAAGCCAAATGGGTCAGATGTGATTATGCAGCCCCACAAAAAAGCCCCAGTATACAAACCCCAGCCACCTATAATATGTGGCCTGGCTACCAACTGCGATCTAGCCCTCAAACTTTCTCGGTTATTATCTGACATCGTTTTCTTTGTCACTTTGCAGTCTGGTATGTGGTCACCTGTTCGTGACCTCTAACACCCTGTCTGGAGTTCGCTGTTTTCGTATGCTAAATAAGGTTGTATTCGCCTGTTGGAGTGTGCATAGATGCCTGTACCAAGCTCGAAGAAGACTAGCAGACGGCTAGGCGCTGAGTGACTTCAGTTCAACGCTGCTGGAAGCCTACTGGCTAAACCTAGTCTGTGAGCTGTCTGCGACGTAGGAGTGTTTGCGCGCTCTTTGCCCAGCCGTCTGGCTGTCTGAAGAGACTAATCCTAAGACAGTAGTCGCCCTGTCTTTATCCCTGTCACATGTCACCGGGCTCTCAGCCGAATCTAGCAGAT